TAAAAAGTACATCACTGTTTTGTCAAATAGCTCACATTATCTAAATGACTAGATTTTTGCTGCATACATAGGCATCTCTACGCATTCTATTTCCAATTCACTAAGGTAACTATGACTAATTTTATCATGTTTCAGTTATTTTTCTTCCTGATAACAAAAACGGCTATCAATTACAATATCTTATTATGACCCAGTTCTCACATGTGGTTTATTGAAAATAAAATCAAAGAGACTGAATATTTCAACTGTTCTAGGTTAAATAATTTAATTACTTTGGATAATGGCTTAATTAACTAGATAAACAATATGGAAGAAATACATGCAATGCTTTGATTGTATGTCGTGTCCAAATTTCAGCAACTTTCAACAAGTTGAGAGCAGTGTTGTGCTAGACTCTCACTTGTATAAAGTACATCACTGTAACATAATGGAGAACAGTAAGGTTTTTTTTTTGCCCCCGATGCAATTTGCCATCCCAGAAGTAACCTTTATTTTATTTATGAACAGGAAACAAACATTTCCTGACCAAGAGAGTATAATTGCAGAACTTAGAAACCACTCATGATGTTGTATAAATATATGCACTATATAACACAAAATTTGTAAAAAAAAAAATCTCCTTCCTAGATGGATACAAAATGGAAATGCATTGATAATCCTATATCAAAGAAAGGTGACTTCATTCCCTGCAAGAATGGCCATCCTCATTCCAAAGTTCTCTGTGTGAGATTCTGCCCTTGGAAGCCACTGTTCTTTTCATTTTCAATGTGTGTATTTTTGTTGTTGTTGTTGTTGTTATAGTGTACAGTATGGCAGCAACCACAGACTGCATCATTTGGCCTATGATAACTAAACTTGACAATGAAATCATTGTACTGTTATTATGGGCACATTTGGTGAGAGCTTTGTCAGTTGAAGTGGTTTTGTTTTCAATTGTTGTCCATTGTTTATGTATTCCAATGAGTACTCAGACGCCATGTTCCTTTGTATAACTGAAATGACACTCCACCTAAAGGACATAGTCTTCTCCCTTCCATCAAAGTTCACGATGGAAACCTCTTGGAAAGTAATTCCTTTTTTGCAATTGGTCAAGGAAACTAGACAGATGTGCTCCTAAGACTTACAGTTGCATTTGAGAAAACTGTTCTGACTATCTAACAGTGGAGGAAATGAAACAAATGATGAGGCAAGCCACAGAGGGTGAAAATCTACTTCCCTATATTTTTAATATTTTAAGAACAAGATAGAAGGTAATGGGATCAGTTAAGTTTCATGAGCACTCGTTCAGGTTTATGTTTATATGATTCAGGCACCTGATTCGCTATTTTGATTTAAAATCTTTGTGAGTTTAGGCGTGTTGGATAAAGACAGTTTTCCCTACTACAATAGAATGGGGAAAGCAAAAAACTACCTATATTAAGGCTGCATCATCATCACCGCTGGGCAAATAAAATTGGCTTTAAAATTTTATCCTTCTTTCAGTATGATTTCTCATTTTATGAGTAGAACAGAAATAAGATAACGTTTACATAGCATGTATGTGTTTTATATACTTATATTTGTATATTTATATTTCAGGATGCAGGAAAACAATACACCTGAGAAGAAAACAATTTTGCAGCTAAACAGAAATATCTTTGTTTAACATGAGCTCCAACAGTACCCTGCATTAGTTCTGCTCACCTTTGATATAGTGAAATATTCTATTTTAAGAACCTTGGGAAAACCTACTGTAATCTTGAGAGTTCACTTGTAGAAAGCATTAATCATACAGTCGAACAGGAACATAACAAAAGATACTTCATAAGATGTACAAGCATATGCAGATGAAAAAAGAAACATCGTTTCCATTTTACAGTAAGTTGGTATCCTGGAAATAGCACCTATATTACAAATAGTATTATAAACACCATAAATATGGGAGGAAAAGAGCATGCCACATCCACATCAAAAGTGGCTTTTAGTTCCTTGATTCACCATTAAGGTAACAAAAAGTTGGCTAGAATACACAGGACTTACTATGCATTCACATTCTAAGCAACAGTCATTATTCCACAGATTCTATCTACTTTGCTTTGGTTGCTCCAAAAATTTTGTTTTGGAATATGAATATTTTACATCTGTTCCTTAATGTTTAATGTTTGACTTCACTTTTTCTTCCTCTAAACTTCTTCCAGATCTAGAATAGATTTCTTACTGGTAGAATGTATCAGAGCAGTGTCTTCAATACACACTTCCATCTCAGACTGCATATTTCCCCTCTTACCTTTATCAGAACTTTCTTCCTCAGCTTACCCTCTTTATCTAATGTCATAAATACTGGCATGTTTTCCAAGGATAAGAAAAGGGAGTATCACCTACTTAATTTTGTTAAAACAAAATCTTTTTTAAAAATGTTAAAACTCAAACAGACTCTATTGTAAAAGTTAGTTATGCTGTTATATTCTGTTGATTGCAGAACAAATAAACAACAAACAAACAAAACCACTCAACATTCAAAGCTTTTTACTGAATATGAGTTTATTAAGCAATGCATGGAAAGCATGGCAGGTATAATTTGTCCTGACTTTAAAAAATGGTTCTTTCTAAAATCTTCTATTTACAGGTAAATAGAAGAATCAGGAAAATCAATCAAAAGATATTAAGAGAGTAAAGCTGTTCGTTTGAATAGATGAATGTACTGATGCTACAGATATGGCTCAACTTGCCATTTTCTATAGAGGTATTGATAACAAATATATTACTGAAGAAATATCTTCTTTGGTGCAAACACACAACTAAATCTCTTAATTTGCAGTAAACAAGTACATTGAATTAATTTTCTATAACTTCTGTCAAAATATTTTGTACAGTTCCTGATGGTACCCTAGTGATGATAGGTAAAAAAGAAGGACTTATAAAATTAATAGAGGGCAATGCAATGGCTACCATTGACTTATGTTCGATGAAATATCATGGCATCATATACAAAGAAGATTTATATGCAAAGCCTTAAAAGTTGATAATGTGATGCAAATCATTATCAAAACTGTGAAATTCATGAAGTTCAAGGGATTGATTGATTAATTACCAATTCTAGGAGTGCCTTAAAAGTCTGGATGCTAATTATGGGGACATCCTTTACTTTTCTGAAGAGAGGTGGCTAAGTCAGGGTAAAATGATTTTATAATTTGCAAATTGAAATCAAGTATTTTATGGAACCGAAGGGAAAATTTGTACCAGAATGTGAAGATTAAAAATGGCTCACAGAGTTAGCATTTTTTGTGGATTTCACCATTATTTTAAATGAGCTAAAAGGTATCTTCAAAGCGGAAATCAACTTATCTGTTCTATGTTTCAAAACAGAACAGCATTTGAAATGAAACTTAAATTATGGCAAGCTCAAGTGATGGCAAATAATGCTTTGTATTTTGATGTGTTGACTAAACACAGTCCTGTGAACAGTGAAAAATATGCAGCCACTCTTTCTATTTTTATAAAAGAGTTTGGGAATATGTTTCAACATTTCTAAAAAAATCATCAGTTTCTTTTGTATACTTGTGTCTCCATTTTCACTCGACATAAATACATCACCTGTGAATTTTCAAATGGAATGTATAAGTTGCAATCAGACATTCACTCAAAGAAAAATTTGGTCATCTCTCTTTACCAGATGTTTATCAGCCTTATCTTAAGAGAGAAAAGCATCCTTCTCTTCGCAGTCACGCCCTATTTGGTTCATTGCTTTTTGGTAGTACATATGTTTGTGAACAATTGTTGTCCAGAATGAATCACAGAAGGAGTAAAATTTCATCAAAAATCTCTGACAACACCTTGAGAACTTACTACAATATGCAATCCGAACACTGATGCATTAGTTTCGCAGATCAAATATCTCCCCAGTTTTATATCTTTGTTGATCTCTGTTTTTTTTATTATTATTATTTTAATAAAAAAATACGTTTAAAAATAAAGTTTTGTTACTTAAATACTTTAACTGTATTATAAGTTTTATATGTGGCCTAAGACAATTCCTGTTTGTTCAATGCGGTGTAGAAAGCAATAAGGTTGGATCCCATGATCTAATCACTTAACATAAAGGAAATCATATTTTTAAACCTGAGGATAAATTGTTTGGGGATTATCTACTTCCTGCTTCTCTCCAACACCTCAGAATGTCTCTTTCAGATTTACTCTTTTCCTTTCACTTCTTTCTTCAAAAATGTCTTTAATCTCCCATCTTCTGGCTGCTCCCATATGCTTTATAAATTTTTGTGTCTCCTGGGTATATTAGGTATGACTCTCACTTGCCCAAATAGTAAGCATTTATCTAGTTATTGTTGTGATGCTTGACTAATCCATGAAAAAACTGGAGGTACCATGTGAAGCAAACAGCTAGTCTGGGTAGTTTCAAGTCTTTATGAATGTTTTCTCCATTTTGTTAATTTACATTGCTTCATATACAGATAACGTTGCTAATCCTGCTTTGTACAGTCACCTCGCTGGTATTAATTAATGCATCATATGACTAGATTTCATCTGGGAACAGACTTAATAGTAAGTATTCAATAATGGACCTCCACTGACTGCTCCCTAAACAAGTATTTGAAGTATAATTGGGATATATACTTTAAATAATGATGCTGTTTATTACAGAGAGAATTATCATAGTGTACCTTCCCATCTGTTCTAACAATTGTCCCTCTCAGTGCCAAATTCAGAGAAAACCAATTGGTGTATCTAAGTCTCCCATGTTAGTACTGAGTTAGTACCAAGTTAGGCTTGCTCTTGAAAGAATCTCCCTAAATTTTTACAGTCGCTGATACAGTAACATAGCAAGTTTTCTTTGCCATAAATATAGAAATAATAGAAATATATATATATAATATAGAAATAATTTCTGAAATTTCCAATAGTGAGACAATAATGACCTATTTTTTTGCATGGAAGTAAGGCCCTCAAAAATAGTGCTCCTTCTGCCTTTATAAACAATATCACACATAAAAGAGAAATGAGATTACCTTTAAAGTTTCTCCATGGATGCATTTTAATTGTCAGATGCCACACTTTGGACTGGAAGGAGAATGATAGTTGGGCTGGAAGAGGCTATAAAGAAGATTGTGTTAGGTTGGTTACTTGTCAGTCTACCCTGAGTTGACAATCTTGTAAGAATACACAACCGGAAAAAGAAAGATCCTCATTCTCTTGGGCATGCCTTATCAACTGTAAAAATATTAGAAAAGTGAAAGGCTACTGTGCAAGGAAAAATAAAATTAATGGAGGAGTATGATGGAGAAATATAACCATGAGGAACTGATCCAAAAGCCATGGTTGTCCTGTTTTCAGTTGGGAGCGTATCTTAAAAAGAATCACAAAAAATTATTTGTGCTTTGTTATCACTCTGAGCTTCCAGCATACGTACACAAATGTTAAAAACAACCAAAGGTGAAAATAAACATAATATTAAGCTAAAAATACCAGCCTGAGTATCTGAAAGCTTTACTAAAAAAAATGTTGCCAAGTTTTGGATGATTCAGAAGAAAGAAACTGCAACTTATTCCAATAAAACAGATTCACAGCGTAAATAAAACATGAGGCAACATGCTCTCTGGTTAGTCCTGAGTGAGGGACTGGGAGACAGTGTCAGAACTCGATTCCCAATTTGCTAAATGATTCAGACCAAGTTATTTAACTCCTGTTTACCTATCTGTAACATGGGCGTAAGAAAAGTTATTTCCCAGGTGGCAGCACAGTGAAATTTTACTGATGTTTGTAAACTTCTGGCAGAGTCTCTGATGAGAGATGAGCATAAAATAATATTACATTCACCTTCTGGGAGTCCCTACATTTATTTCGTAAATGCAATAAAGAGAAATCGAGGCTTATGAGAATTCTTAAAAATCTGCTGTAATAATTTGTGATTTCAAAATGTGCATTGTAGTTCACAGAATACCAGCTAGTACTCATATATGAATACAGATCAGTCTTGGATCAATGGCCATTTTATATTCAGAGATTAAGATTAATAAACATTGTTTCTGGAAGAAAATTCAAATCACATTTCTACCCTTTTCTCCTGCCGTGATTCCACTGAAATTATCAGATAGGCTCCAAACGAGAGAGAGAGAGATGGAGAGAGATCAAATTTGGAATTTAGGGCTTTGTGGTTACCATATTTTACTTTACCATCTTAAAATACATTCCTGGGCAATTGCAGCAGCTCTCAGTTTTCCATCCCTAAAACAAAACATGGGAATTGGCACCTTGGATCCAAATTCAGAAAGCATTTTCCATAGAATGACGTCTCCAGCAGTGAGCAGTACCATATGTTGCTATATAAAGTTCCCTTCTTTTTCCATAGGTTAGATATTATTAAGAGATTCTGGCTTACCTCCAACTCTCTTTCTGTTTTAAAACAGTAAATGTTATAATTCTGACTACTTCTGTTACCTGTAGGAAGCCCTACCCTTCTTAAATCTTGGTAACTACATCTAAAGAAACCTTGGGCTGAAAATCAGGAACATAATATTCTTTCCTTCTTTTTTCGTTATGGCTTGTTTGGTTGCTCTCAACCATGGATGGTGGAAGATGGCAGATTCAAACAAAAAGTTGTTCACTACAAGGTGGGAGATGGTGCCAGGCAGACATTTCCCTAACTCTCCTTCTTACTGTACTCTTCCTCAGGAGACATAATGAAAGAGCTACAGGTTTAAAACAAATAAAGAAATAAATTAATAAAAATTAGATAAATAAATAGACTATTTTAGAATATAAAAACATAAAATATAAATTGATACTAAAAATATAAAATATAAATTGATATGAAAATTTCAGGATTAGCTGGAATGAAGTTCTGAAATGTCAATGTGTAAGACATGGATAGTAAAGCATTTTTTTGTTTTGTTTTGGTTTTTTTTTTTTTTGTGGGAGTGGAGGAAGGTTGTTTTTTGATTGCTGTTGTTTCAAAACTTTTCCCGGGTTGCAAGCATCTAACACGCCTTGGTTAAAGTGGAATGTGTAGTCCATTTATGTAGCATCGAAATTTCTGTACTTGTCTTGCTTTCTGCTAAACTTGAATGTTCCCATGATTCTTTTCCGCTGAATTATGTGTTAAATTGAAAATAAAATAGAAATAAAAATATAAGATTTATTTGTCCCCAGATTGTTCCTGCACGGGCCAAAGGAAGGTCTTTATGTAGCATGGATACAGCTTCACAGTTGATATAATCTTTATCCTCCCTGCATTTTCTTCACATTCTTTTATAAAGAGAAAGAGAAAAAAGGAACAATTGTCCTACAAAAATCTGAATTACTGATATTTACAATAACATCCACTCCAGTGGAAGGACCAGTTATTTAACTTGTTCCCCAAGGTGTTTTAGAAAATCAGGCAGACAATCCCACTTTATTTGAACCTGACTCATGCTTTCAAGAAATTTCAGCAACTGCAGTCAGATTTCATAAAACAAAAGCTAAAATTTGCAGATCATGTAAAGGCTGACAGAAACCAGTGTTTGTGTTCCAGTATGTATCACCATACTCTAGTATATAACTCTTACTTAGAAGACGTAACTTAAAATAAACTTAAAAGTTCACTTAAATAACTTTCACTTTAGAGTTCTGTCTTGGGAATTTACTTATTACCTGTTGTTGTTCTAAGAAGTAGAGCATCTATGACAGAACAAGGGGAAGGTCTACTGAAAAGTTTACAGAAAAAAAAAAAACACAGCTATTTAATTAAACACTAATTAACACTAGACATTTTCTTTAAAAAGTATATGGAAATATCTTTTTACTCATGCAGTGTAGCGATTGACAATAACTCATGCAAAAATTGAATCACGGTTCCAAGTTTTCAAGTTGTATTGTAGTATATTTGATTCTGAGGTTCAGTAGTAGTTTTTCACGTCCAGGTTCTGCTTACATAACTTTAAGATGCTAAGTGTTTGGAAGGATTAGTACTTCTCTTTCTTCATAACATTTTTTTTCTTGATTGTCATAAGATCATTCTTCATCTTCGGGTAACAAGACTTCCTTTATCAGTTCCCTGACCTGCCTAAAAATGTATAGCGGTTCTAGGCAGAGAGCTACTATTCACATATCCAATATTCTCAACTGGACAAGCGGCTCTGGAACATAAAGTTGTGCTTTATGTTATGTGCTTTACCCCTTAGCTCTTTCTGATAAAAAGAGAGTCCAAGAAAGAAAACTTTTCTAGATCTGATATTACTTACTTAAAGCAAAGATACTCCAGATTCACGGCACTACTCCACAAAGTTCTACAGTGTTGAGTGTGAACATCATTGTATCCACAGTAGCTTGCATTCCTGCTGTATTCCTTTCCTACAATGACTTAGACATTGATCAAGCAGTGCTATTAAGACTTGGTAATAAATACAGGACTTTTGGTGTGTTTTTTTCCCCTCTTAAAAATTCTCTGATATTAAAAAGAACATATTTTGCCTAGCCACCTTCATAAAGTACTGAGAGAGACAATTTACATTCACAAGTGAAAACAGAAAGCTAAGTCCAAAACAAATTTTACTACACTGGGGCTGTGGGTACCATCCATCTAATCAGGAAAGCAAATAAAACTGTGTGATTTATTCCTTTCATTTACAGCTTAACAATAGCATTTAAACTTCTGTATTTTGAATATTTTCATTAGAGAGCTGCTAAGCCCAAAGAAATAATATCCTTAATGCAAAAAGAGTAGAAACTTGGCTAATTGCTTGCTACAAATTATTTATTTTGGTGGAGACATTGGCTAAATATTTGCTCTCAATTCACTGGACTATATCTTAGCACCTGAGGGAAACTTCTACTGTGGATATTAAATAAGTATTAATCCATGTTTTTCTTCTAATTAAATGTCATCTAAGTTATCGTATGTGCATTAAGGGCAAAGAATGATAAAGTTTTGACTTCAGATAATTAGACTACCTCCTTTAATTATGCCTCAAGATAGGCTTTGATTCAGAAATCTCATGCTACTGTAAACCTTTTTGTCTCCCTGATCTGTCCTGGAGAAAAACAATAAAGTCAGCTCTAGCAATATGATTCATAACATTATGGGGGCAGAATTTTTGAGATCCATTGTATCAAGTGCCTTGTAATGCAAATATCCCAAGACTGTGCATTTTGAAGTGGTTATACATAAGCTGTGCTGGAAGCAAAACGTAAGAACCTTTTTTAAAATTTTGAAACATTTAGCAAGAGCACTTCTTTAAGTGTCCCAGGGCTGATTACTTTTAATAATTAATATCATAGTGATTAGACTAATTAACCTTGTATTCTACCATATCGCTAATTACTTTGATGTTTTATTTTTAATAGACTTCTGGCTGACCAGTTTGTCCACGTTGATAATGTTCCCAGATTTCTTTTTTCACAAAATACTTCCTATTATCCCTTTAGAGAACATTACATTTTCTTCCAAGTTCATTCTGTCAAATAAAGTTGACTGTTGTCTGTGAAGTTCAATCTGCTTTATCTGCAGGTAATTTCAAAATCAAAGAGATACTAGAAAGTAGGCTCATGCACCGTCCTGTAATTTCTAAAAGGATGCAATTGTGATCACATCTTATCAGCATGTTTGCACCTTTCCTTTTGTGCATGTACTTAGAACTTGACCCATAGATATATTTTTGAAGTGTTGGAGGACACTTCCATTTGTACAGGTCCTGCACCCCTGCCTACCTGTTTACCCTGACTATGTTAACATCCTAAAGGGACCACAACTATCAGCAATCAATGGATTTTCATGTACTCTGCACACAATTTTGGAAGTGCATAAGCTTCCAGAGCTACCAGTACTCTGCTCTGCTCTGGCAAAGCAAGTCTTGCAGCATTAAACAGAAGACCAGAAGCATGCCACTGTCTGCTAACTGCTCTCTATGCAGTTTGTGAGGAGGTTTTTTATTCAGATCTCATGCACTGCTTTACAATTTTCTTCCAATTCTTCCCCTTTTTGTCATTAAGCTTAATGAATGCAATCATCCAGGAAATTTTAACAACATAATATACCATAACTTTATATCAGAAAGCAGGTTGCTTTCCATTTCATGAAATTAATGTATATTAGTTGTCTTAGATCATTAGGTAGCAGCTCCTGATCTGAGGGCTGTTCATACTGCCGTACTCCAATAAAAAAAATCTACTATGATTGTAATACTACCTGATGAAATCCGATTTTCGTCTTCCTCATTTTAATTAAGGAGTCTGAAATGTGAATAAATTGAAGCTTAACCTTAATTTCGAAAATCCATAGGCTCCTGGAATCCATCATTTTCTGTTTTAAGTTTAGAGATAATTGAAAATCTTTATATATCATAAAATCTAAGTTCAGGGTTTCGTTTGCTAAGTGTCAAGACTTCAGTGTATCAAATATATATTTTTTACTTTACAAGTATCATTTGAAAATAAAAAATATTGCCTGTGTCAGCTAACACATATTCCCTCTAACATCAAATGTGGACAATAAGTTGAAAATAGAATTGTTCTTTTCTGTACTAATGAATTATTTTCTTTGGTGTCTATATGAATCTATTTGAATATTTACCAACAATCTCATAACTGTGCATGAAAGTATACAGCTTACAAATTTGTACTCTCACATACAAAAATACAACTTGCCATCTAAATTTGAGAAACCACTCTCATAGATTGTGTTGTGTTGTAGAAACAGGAGAAAACTCCATAATATGTGCCTAATATCTGAAATACTAAAAGGCTAATAAAAATGAAATAAGGCCACTGATCGACTCCACATATTGCTTAGGCCCTGTAAAGATGTCACTCCAAAAGTAATTCCTCCTGTCTATTTCCATGGAAACTGCAACAGATGAAAAGAGCACAATAACACTATTTGATCGAGAAAATTCTCAGCTAAAAAATACTATTTTTCAAATATACTTATCACCATTAACTATGCATTTTCACCAGATATGAACAAGAACCTGCATGTTGCTCTTTTAACAATCTGAATAGGTACCCAGAACATGGCTTGTCTTTCACGTCACTGTCACCACTGCTGAAACATACCACCACCACCTACCTCACTGTGCTCACAGCCACTGTTTAGTCTTCATAAATGTTCAGTAAGTGTCGATAAACGTCTGTGGATGTCATTTTTTTCCACATGGAGGAATTCAATTCCACACTTTTGCTTGTATTAATACGAATACGTACATACAAGAGCAACAAGGCTTTTGAAGGGCTTGGAGAACATGCCCTAC